TGCGAAATAGGAGCACTATTTATCAATCTGTAATAGAAGACGTGAGGAAATTCTGTCTTTTTTAAAGACAAACATTTTTGAGGCGAAATACCCAATAAAAAGTTTGTAAAAAAAACATTTAACTTATTAAGTTTCGGCGATTTATCGTGACGCCTAATTGTATAGAATAGAACATTTTGAGTAGACGTATCTGGTTAGTATGCGATTAAAATAATGCCCCTTTCTAATTAAACACTGTTGTATTTTTATTTTTGAATTTGCGTTTGATTGTATTTGAAATTTTGGTTATTTTTTATTTGTTTGCCTGATCACCGCATTACGACCATACTACTGTGCAAGAACTGGAGCTTATTTTTGTTTATTTTTCTTTGAATACTTTCCTTAGCATTGTTTTGATTTGGTTTCTCGGGTAGTTGAAAAGTTTGCATCTTCTTTTGTTAGCCTTCTTTGGTTGTGTTTGACTCTTGCATTATGTCCACATTTGATTGTGATGATAATATTTGATGCAGAAACGAAATAGTTCTCCACCGACAACAAACACGACATTTGATTATTTATACGAGTTCTCCGAAACTCGAAAAGTTTTGGAAGAGTTTTTTAAATGTCCTCCTGAGGAAGAGAATAGATTAGGAAGCGAATTCCAGGATTTAGAATACGAGTTGAGACGACAGGCAAGTGAATCTGGAAATTCATATGTAGGAAAAAGATTAGCTAAAGGTCGCAGCAGTGAACCTGATTTTTGCATGCGAATTGATTCACCAGCGAAATGTTTTACAATTTCCAATGTCCCTTTGCAGGTAGGATTCTCTCATTTTCAGCGGGATTAGGTAAAAAAACCGACGACTATTCCAAATTTCCATTTGCATGCCTGAATTATGTCTTCAATTCCAGTTTTCTTTGATGCAATTACAAGAAATTACAATCCGGATTTTACATTTTCTCTATAACAGAGGTGGATATGAATTTGCATGATATTGTCATTTGTTCGTTTTCGTTTTAGTGATGGTAATGGAGATTTAATTTTTTTTACAGGACCATGATTTTCCAGAGCATGAAAATAATTTCCTTGATCTGTCCATTGGCACAGGGTCTAGTGGTGATTTGGGTGAAACGGAAGTCGGTTTACAGGTTGGACACAGTCGAAATTTTACTTTATCCCCCGAAACTACCGATTGTGACTCTAATTGCGGGGATTTAGATAGCGAGGTTTCTTTAATGCTCATGGAAAACGACCTTGCGCCTTCTGGAGGTCTATTGGGTTCGTTATTATCTCTTCATTGAATGCTTCAATTATATGCAAACCTATTTGTGTTTAGGATCAAATACAGATTTGGCAGTGCCCGGTGATACTTCACGGTTGTATTCTAGTATGCCAGTTTTGGAAGACGGTTTGTCGTCAGGCCATGCTAGTGATACTGATAATAATAACCCTACAGTTATGCTTATGAAAAGACAAATTACGGAGATAGAAAGGGAAATCAATCAAGGTGGTTACATATTTGTGTAGATTCATTTCCATTTTTAATGTGTTGTTTTGGCTTGGGCAGGTGTTTGTAACTCAAAACCCAGTGAAAATGGCATAGTCGCTCAAAAAGAGAGCATCAGTACATCACCCATCGACATGAATAATTGTGTAAATAGTTTTGATGAACCGTTGAACCTTTCACAGACTGATTCTATAGGTAATATAAGGCGCGGTAATTGAATAGTTTATGTGAAGATGAAAATGTCTGGTTTGCCAGAAAAAACACCTCCACCTCCTGCTCCAGCACCTCATCGCATGAACAGCAGCGCAGAAAACACTAATGATGTAGAAGCAGCCATAAAAGATATCAGACTGACTCTCCAAAGGACGAAAACGCTTCCAGTGCAACGACATCCAGGAGAAGAGTGTGAAGAAAACGGTGCGAGCCCCGTTTGGGTACCAAGGTGAGAAGGTTAATGATTTATTTTAATCTCAAACACCATTAAAGTATCTCCTCATATCTTCTTAATGAGTATTACATGGCATAATATTTCGGTCACTATATTGTTTCATTGTTGCGTTAAGCAATGCCATTGAAACAAATTAAATGGCTGTAAGTATGGGGGAAAAACCGGAAAATCAGGTGGGTTGTTTTGAAATGAGGGTTTGTTTACAGTCATTTTCGGCAAAGGGGGCTGTCGACCACAAGTGCTGACTCAGAGCGAAAAGGCAACAGTGGACCTGAAGAAGGTAAGGTACAGTGTTTAAAAAGTGGCTAATTATTGAAAGTGTTTTCACTATTTATCCAGAAGAAAATGACACAGACTTGGAAACTGATAGGCTTCTTGGCCAACAAAGAACAGACGACCAAGGGTTTTATGATGAGAAAGTAAGTCAGATAAATTAGTTGTTTGAGAATCAAAGTTAATATCTTCCAAGAATTATAGACGTTATTAATATTGTTAGCTCAATGTTGTTATGATTGCTGATTGGTTCAATGATTACAAAATTTACTACATCTTGCGTGCATCTTGCGAAATCAATTTTTTGAAATGAAACGCGGTGATTTGCTCTTTTTTCCTTTTTGGTCTGTAAATCTGGTTTATTTTGTTATTTCACAGATTGTTTGTATACGTTTATAAAACTACCATTCATCTGAAGGCAGAGTAGATGAGTTTAGTTAAAATGTCATGCGTTGATTTCTAATCCAACTTTACTTAGTAGATTATAACTATAACCGCCTGTATACATAATTTCCGATTTATCGTAATAGCATGTTCCTAAATTTGCTGTTATTTGTATTGCTAGGATTGGAGAAAACCTAAAAGTCGAACAATAATGCCGCAAATAGGCCATTCCATTTCCAAACCATTGCTCACTCCTTTAGACGAAAGCTCTATTCCGTTAGTCCCGTCCTCTGACTTGCAAAATTCCGTACCCCAATCGCCTTCCGCCGTCTCTGACAAAAGCCAATCACCTCAAAGTCAAAAAGGATCAGTGTCTTCAAATAAAACTAAAAAGGTGTGAAAATGGCATGTGTATATACAATTATTTTCACTGAAAGTCCTAGAGAATTTGGAGATATTCAGCTCCATCAGTCCTATCGTTTGCTTTTGCTTTTGACTCATTTGATCAATAATTAGTTATGAACTTTCAGTGAAGATGCCTGACATAATAACATAGACTCTAGTATAGCAATTTTGGCTAGCTACTAATTTACTAACACCTTACATTCCCGTAGGGGTAATAGTGAAATAAAGCGTCTTATAATTGCAAAATGCCCGTATAAATTGCTTGCTCTTTGTGCATGAATATAGAAATCAGTTCTCAATATTGAAAATAATCAGATCTCAACCTAAGACGTAGTTAAGCATTAGCTATCCATTAAATATTCACTGTATTCACAGTACAATATACAGCGATAGCTGGATTTATGGATTGAAACTTAACACTTTGTAGTATTTGCCATTATTTATTAGAGCACTCTGTGCATGTTTCGTAATTTACCAATGATTTGTAACTACACGTGCAAGCATCAAAGTATCGTATTTCGATAGCTTTGGTTTAGGTATTTTAAGGAAAATTGAGCTGTATTTTACTGCCTAAACTCTCAACGATTTCAGCTCTGCTATGAAAATAACGCTTGCCTCTATGAGCCGAATTAGAAAGATTTTTAAGCGTAGCGCAATTTTGAATATATTGCTTTCTCGAATCGTGATCGTACATGAAAGCAAGTTTTGTATTTATACATTCTAACTATTTTTTAGTCTCTTAACTTGACGCTTTTTGTGTAAAAACAAAATTCCTTCTTATAGTGGTTGTAAAAATATGTTTGTTTGATTGCAGGATAAAGACAAAAAGAAGGGCAGAAGTAAAGAAGGTAAGTTGTTTTTGTTTGCAATTAATTTTTTAAAATAAAGTACCTACTTTATTTTTGCACTGCGTTTGGAAATTTACGGTAAGTCGAAATTTAAAGCAATTCTTTGTAAGATTCAGCAAAGACGTTTAACATGCAAACGGCAATGTAAACTTTGAAATAATAATCGCGGAGAAATTTACAAATAAAAACAAAGGATTTTTCAGATGTTATTCAACGTTCAGTTCTGATAGAAGGGGTGCTATTTCGAGCCCGATACTTGGGCTCAACTCAGTTAGTATGTGAAGGGCAGCCTACCAAAACTACTAGAATGATGCAAGCTGAGGAAGCAGTGTCTCGCATAAAGGTAAGCTACTAAGTAGATTCGAGTTCGAAAAATCAAAATTCCCATTCTAATTGTATCTGTATATAGGCATGAGCCATTTCAATGCACCTTTTATAAAATAGACCCCATTTTAAGCTGGATTAATCGAATAATCCAATATTGGATAAGGCGGGAATAGTAAAAGAAGTTAGATGAGAAGCAGTTCGTCCTATATTTATTAAAAACCCTTTATGTATTTCTGAATCTGAGTCTTATTTTCTCCTTAATTCAACCAGAGCTTTTAGCATAGAATTTTTACTGATCATTCTCTCAATGCGGAGGCTCAGATTTGGAATAGTTAGAAGCATGACAGTATCATTATAAATGCGGTGTCCGATTTAAATGTTACTAGCGTGGTGTAGTTAAGTGTTTTTATCCGTATTAATTGAAGTTTGGAGGTTTGTGTGTACGTTTCCCCCCTTCCACGACCAAAACAGAACCTCGATTGCAGAGTAATTGGAAATATTGGGGTGCCACTTGGTTCACCTGAATCCGACAATGTAATTGATGAGTTTGTAAGTAAGTATGTCAATTAGCAAAGCAATTTTGTACTGTATATTCGTAATAATTTTACAATATAAGTTGACTAAATGAGGAAGAGTGAACATTTTTCCAGAGGTTCAAATGCTTTATTCTAGGAACGTGACCTTTTCGCTTCATTGTTTCAAAAATTTACATTGAATTATTTTTTACACTAACTTGTTAGTGCGAGCGGGTAATTATCATCCATCTTATCTATAGAAGGGCTTTTTTGTTTGCTGTTGGTTGTATGTTGAGATTATTATGCACCATGTTTCGGAAAGGGCTAATCACCTCTAGCACATGCTGATAATGATTTAGTCCAATATACTCCATATTTCCTTTCTACTCTGTAACCTAAATGCACGCTTATTGGGCGTTTTTGGTTGGTTGCCTTTTTACTTCGTATATCTGGATTACTGCACATTTTCCTCTACTTTCAATTAATTTATGTTGAACGTTATTTGTTAACCGGGAGAAAATGAAATGCAGTTTTCTAGACTTTCGCACCATTGTCCTAATAGTGTTTGTCTTGAATGTTTTTTTGTATATATTACAGCACTACTCCCATTTAGTATGCGTAGTGATTTCCGTCATTAGCCCCCGTATTCACTTTCTTATTACGTATATTGTGCATGGTGGTACTGATTCAAAGACCATCCACAAAGACACTTCTTTCCGTTGAAATCAAATTTAGATTCTAGATAAAATAAATATATCCAAAATGTTTCATTTACAGACTTATTATTGTCATGCTGTGTTACATTCTATAGTAGCTCTTCTCATAGTGGATCACGCACGAATATTTTAATGAAGTCCAAAATATGAAAAAATCAAAGCTCAGAAACCCACATTTGAAATAGTATTGGAAAACTGCGTGTTTTCCGATTAAAAGGCCAAAAACCTGTGAAGATGCGTGCCATGCGTGCTAGCGAAACGCTAGGACCAAACTCCTACATCTGCCGGCCTAATGACCCGAAAACTCGTATTTTTCGAAACAATCTCCGCAAAACCGTTTATTATTTATTGTGTAACACAGAATGAATAATTGTAGGTCAGCGGGTAAGAGTTAAAAAATATAAATTTCCCCTGAATTGTGACTTTTAGGAGGCATCCAACCAAGCGGTTCAGCCGTACGAACCTCAATATGCGACATTTAGTTGTCCTGAAAGCGGACACTTTGACGATGAAACTCATCTCAATTCGATTTCAGAGAACGAACCGCAAATTGACAATGCTGTAATGCAATTGATGCAACCATTAACCCATAATGGTAAGCAGTTTGTGCTCCAGGGAAATCCATTTGAATATCCCATACAAGCCTATGCAGAAGGCACAAAATGGCTCTGCTCTGAACTGAACCGTTCGATTTCTGACGATTTAGAGAACATGAACGAAAATAAAATTAATGAATAATGAATCTTTCCCATGCTCATTGCTGTGCTCTTGTGAGAGTAGTGGTTAAAAAGTGTTTCTGTAGATGATCCATCACCGTTTATCGATGAGAACCCATTGGGTGGTGGTGGAGCATCAGGAACGGTGTTTCGATTACTATTCCTGGGTTCTGTTGAAGTCGACGAGGAAGGGGGTAGAAAACGACGAAAAAAATTCAAGAAAAATATGGTTGAAGTTGCTGTTACTAAGATTAAGGTCTGTTTTCGGTGTTGTTTGTCATAGTTGGTGTGTTGGGCAGACGTGGCGATGGACTGTAGTAGCAAACTAATAGAGGTTTGCACTTCCAAAATCTTGATCACGCTGAAACGTTACTTATCTAAGTAAGCATCGCAGGCTCATACGATCATTTTTACAACCCATCGCTGCCATCATACATTTTTTATTAGCTCTATGTGATCATATTTAACTAATACATCCCGAACTTAGGTAACTGTTCTTGTTAACTGCCTGAAGACGTCGTTGTTCGTCTATATACAGCGGTCTCCCTAACAATGCAATCTCAATAATTATCCATGTTTACTAACATATTTTTTTCTTTCATTGCTGCTTGGAAACGGCTGTAGGCTTTGGTAAGCTAAGATGCTAACTGCCAGTAACAACTTGCTTTATTAAGTCGTTTGTTTTAGGCACCAGACGGGGAAACTCAGCCCAGTACAGAAGTCGATCTATTCATCTCCACAGAAAAAATTATGGCAAGTTTTTATTAGCAATAATTCCGCAAGGAGCCGATTTATTAAATTTTTTCCTGCTTAAAGGTGTTGAACACGGATCTGAAAGAAATCATGATGGACCATGCACTGCGCACCATTTCATACATCGCTGACATCGGCGATCTAGTCGTATTGATGGCTAGGCGAAGATTCATTCCTCATGAGGTTGAGGACGCTCCAAAGATCAATAGAACTCCAAAAATGATCTGCCACGTTTTTGAGAGTGAGGAAGCTCAATTTATAGCTCAATCTATAGGCCAGGCCTTTCAAGTAAATACGTTCTTACCTAAGACTGGGTCACAATGAGACACTTTCGGGTCATTTCAGGTTGCGTATATGGAATTTTTGAAAGCCAATGGAATTGAGGACCACAGCTTCGTCAAAGAAATGGATTATCAAGAGGTGCTAAATTCCCAAGAAATTTTTGGAGATGAATTACAAATGTTCGCCAAAAAGGAAATGCAAAAAGAGGCAAGTCTAAGGTGGGAAGGCGGTAAACGCAACATCTATTGATTGTTTGAGAATTTATAGGTGGTGGTTCCAAAGGCAAAAGGTGAGATACTCGGCGTTGTAATCGTTGAATCTGGATGGGGTTCAATGCTGCCTACGGTTGTGATAGCTAATTTGGCTCCAGCGGGGGCTGCAGCTAGATGCGGTCAGCTCAATATAGGCGATCAAATAATTGCCATCAACGGCGTTAGCCTTGTTGGACTTCCTCTTTCCACCTGCCAAACATACATCAAGAACTCGAAGACTCAAACGGTAGTAAAATTAACTGTTGTCCCATGTGCTCCGGTGGTGGAAGTGAAAATTAAAAGGCCAGACACAAAATATCAATTAGGGTTCAGTGTTCAAAACGGCGTGGTAAGTTATTTCATTTTTCTTCATCTTATTTTGCTTTTGTTCAATAATCGCTTTATCTTAGATATGCAGTTTGCTTCGTGGGGGCATAGCGGAAAGAGGCGGAGTTCGGGTTGGCCACCGAATAATTGAAATAAACAATCAAAGCGTTGTTGCGGTCCCACATGAAAAAATTGTAAATCTACTAGCAACATCTGTTGGAGAAGTAAGTCGATGTTTGCAGTTATTTTTCCAAGTATGGTAAGTAATTAGCAGTTTTTTTTCAGATTTTAATGAAGACGATGCCAACCTCCATGTTTCGTTTGCTGACTGGCCAGGAAAATCCAGTGTACATTTAAGTTAAATGTTCTTGAAGGTTTGAAAGTGCCTACTTGTAGATGATAGCTAAAAGATCATTGGAATTGTTTTCAGTTTTATCGTGTTTGAGGCGCAGATCGGTATATTTTTATTGTTAGTATAAGTTTATCAGACTGAAGACAATACAAGCATGACCTGCGCTCTGCACATTATTGTGCAATTTGGTAGTTTCCATTTTCCAGAAACTAACATCACAATTGGTACGTATAACAGTTGAGCCCAGTTTGTCTACTAAAATATAAAAAAGTTTGTCCATTAATCAACTAACATTAAATAAACCCGCTTGATACGTTCAATTCGCCTAGATTTCGTAAAAATTGCAATCGCAAGTCTACCATGTAAATCATACACAATTGAATGTTTATAGAAATGTGAAGCTACCAAATGACGATAAGCTTTTCGTGATAGACCATATCCTTTGCTTGATCGCGTTACTATTTATTGTGAATGTGAAGAAAATACCAAAGACTGTTGGTTGGCTTAGATGAATATTTTATCCCCGATTTATAGATTAAAGTAATTTAAACTTGATCAGTAATTCTTTAAGCATTCCGTAATATTAACAACGGTGTAATATCTTCGTAATCTGTGTACTCAGAAATTTGATGGATGTATCTTCTTCCGATAATTTAGCAGATTCTAGTCATCGCCTTTAATTAAAGTTAGACATATTCTAGAAGGTAATCAATTCGTTTCAGTTTAATGCTATATCTAATGCGTTCACTTAGGGATCGAACTTGGTTGAACGTTTTTTTCTGGGAAACATGGCTATCAGTTTTCTGCTTGACTTATTCGGATATAATACAAAAACTGGGTGGCAATATTTCAACTGATAATTTGCAATTAACTGCCACTTTTTCATACCTTTAAGGGATAAGTTAGTAATTGTTTATCCAGGGTAACATCTAATTGAAAGGAACAAATGTTCGTTGAACTCCGCACGTGGCTTTCTGCATTTTTACTCGAAACATAATTAGAAATTATCAACAGCAACTTTGCTGTTATCCTCAAAATAATCACCAAAAATTGAATATGTTTGAATTGGAAACGAATTATTCTTCTTCAAGCTGTGGACGAAAACGGGATACACAACCAATATTATTAAGGCTGCTGCAAAGTATATCTAATAGTTATTATTTATCTACATATTTAATGTGTAACAATAATTGTGTCTACAATAAAATAATTGAATGACCTCGTATGTAATAGAAATATAATAGTAATTATTTTAAGCTATTTATCTCTGTAAATTTATTAAGTGTGCGACCACAGTAGACGTCTAAATGTGTATGTAAGAATATTCAGATCTATGTTGCTCCAAAACTATCCTGCGAACCGCCAACAAGTATTAATTTGGGTGTAAAAATCTTACTACTTTACAGCAATGGTCAGTCGGTGGTTGGTTCGAGGGATATTAGGTTTGAACCATTGGAATGACCTGAATCCGATTATTAGTTAATTTTCACTATTCTCTGTAGGTTTTGAAGCAAGTGGCTTCTTGAGAAACGATCATTCATAAAATATAGTTGTCACTTCAACTCATACTCTCTCAAGTATGTTACTCTAACACGATTTCTGCTTGAAACAGTCGCACTTAAAAATATTTATTATACTCAATGAGTTCTTTCTGAAGGGGCTCCGATTTGCTTCAAGTTAATCAATATTCGCGTAACAATAGACACAATACATTGTTGATAAGGGCAGGAAAGTGTATAAAAATGATAGTAGTGATCATGTAAAAAAATAAAATCGAACTCGTGCATTTCTTGTAAAAACCCTTCTCCATTCTTTTTGAATGCTCAGGTGCCCGTAATGTTTCAGTACGATCTATATAGCGGTGTATTTACAGAGATATATCAATTTTTGCCGAGTATTTTTTCCAAGTATTATATCGGATTATATGCTAAATCCGATTTATATAGATTGTCCAGTTAAATTCTCAAAATACACAATTATTTTTAAGAAATGCAATAAAATCTATCCCTCCGTAAGTGTCGCTAGTTTCGGTTAGTGCGTGTTAAAAAAAATTGATATATTAAAAACTGTAACAACTAGCTCTTCATTTTTTTACGTAAGTAGTTCTTAATCAGAAGCTCAAGTTATGTTCTTCAACCATCCGATATATGCTCTTTGTATAAAAACTATATGTGTATTATTGCATGTTTGTAACATATTTTATATACTAAACAAATATCCCTTTGTAATTAGGGTGCTACTGTAAGCATATGATAACCCGGGATGAAAGGGAATCGGTGGAAATGATTCCAACTTATTGTGTGCCTTTTCCTTTGTTGGCATTCCTAAAAACCAATATAAATTAATTGAATACACATGATTGTATGCTTCATTGGTGAACACATCATGACATATATTTTTAGTCTAATTTAAAGGCATATTTAACACATTGTAAATCAAAAGAAGTAATAGAATTAATGACATTGTGTATTTAACCTGCCACTTGCTCTATAAAAAAGATTGTGAATTACGTTTGATGTTTTATTTTTCTCCTAACAGAAATCGTTCGCGTCATTGTTGCGAAGCAAGAAAATTTATTACTGGGAAGTTAATTTTCTCTAATTGCCAGCAGAGGGTAATTCCGGAGATTTCCATTATGTGGCAGGTAAAAGTATGTATAGAGTAATATATTACCTACTCTTTGTCATGAGAAAGTAAAATAATTTTAAATAAATTTTACTTTCTCTATGCTCTTTGTCTAGAACTAGCGTTCACTTCTGGGAGGTACTACCTGGCAACTCTTGCCCTGTAAATTTTGCCGCTTTCTTTCCGTGAAAAAAATGTTTCGTAACTTTAATGTTGAATTAAGTTTATCGATAGATCCATCGGGCGGGCAAGTCAAATAAAAACAATGCATTTTGGTTCAGAAATGTTTAATAATTACATCATAACTGGAATTATTTATTCGAAATTCTTTAGGGACTAAATACAAGGGTTATTTCTTTGTATGTTTGAAGGATACATATGCAATTCACCATCAGCGCCATATTTTGTTCGTGCAGTTTTCTTATTACGGCACACTCAAAGACAATCTAAAATGGCTTTTAAGATGTTTCCAATTATTACATCATAAAATGTTGTTACACAATACCACTTCTCAATAGGTACAACAAACAATGAGATAAATGGCATTATCGCATAAAGAGCGCGTTCTAAAGCACTACAACATTGAAGTCGGTAAAATGGGAATAATTTTGAGTATGGGAACTTATAACATGTTTTTCTTATTTACATAGAAGTAACAATAAATAAATCGTGGGCAGTTCTAGACCAAGCTTAAGCGGCGCATTTCTTTCAACAACTCGGTGCCCATTTGTGCTGGTGACCTAGAAAAAAATTCACGGAGATTAATAATCAATATTCCTAGATGTATGCGAACTTACCTTGTAACTATAACACCAGCTTTCTCCAAAGCGTTGATTTTGTCTTGAGCTCCACCTTTTCCGCCGGAAATGATGGCTCCTGCGTGCCCCATTCTACGTCCTGGAGGTGCGGATATTCCAGCAATAAACGACACCACTGGCTTCGCATTAGGACCCTATTGAAAATGAAATTAAGAAAAAACTTGAAAGGAGGAGATCTCATCGCAAAACAACTAAACTTACTGAGTTATGTTTGTTCAAATAGTCGGCGGCCTGCTCTTCAGCCACACCGCCAATTTCCCCAATCAGAATAATACCTTTGGTTTCGGGATCTTTTAAGAACACTTCCAGGCAATCAATGAAATCCGTTCCATTGAAGGGGTCACCTCCAATACCAACGCACAAAGTCTGCCCCAAACCTACAATTGCACAACAGTCAAGTGTTTTTGCATAAATGGGAGTAGTTAGTTTACTAACCAACTTGAGTTGTTTGATGAACAGCTTCATACGTTAGAGTTCCAGATCTAGATACAACCCCCACAATTCCTTTTTGATGGATATGCCCAGGCATAATCCCGATTTTGCATTGTTCTGGAGCAATAATTCCCGGGCAATTCGGCCCAATGAGCCGAGATTTGCCTTGCCTTAGAAGTTTATGCTTCACCCGCACCATGTCATGTTGTGGAATACCTGGAAGAAAATGGGGGTTCATAAGCGGCCTCGGGGGTTTCAAAGGGCTGTTAACATACCCTCCGTAATGCATACAATGAGCGGTACTTCTGCATCAATCGCTTCATTGATGGCAGCCGCTGCCCCGGGCGGGGGTACATAAATGACGGTCGCGTCAGCCCCTGTAGCATTACGAGCCTAAAAATTATTATGCGCAGCATAGATAAATAAGTGTTTAGTAACTAGTTATTATATTCTTACCTTTCCTGGGTCTCAGTCAAAGTGTGAAGTAAAAATTTTACGTTTCGCAGCGCCATCATCAGATTTAAAATTTACACAAACCAAAAAGACCAATTCACAATTAGAACATGTTGTATAAAAACTATAATTTATAAAGCGTTAAAACATTCATTAGTTTTTTAGCATTAGCACATTTAGTTTGGGAGCAAAACATTTGAAAAACATGCCTCATGATTGGTAAATATTAACGTTCTTTTAGGTCTTTGCCTTCTTGAAACCTTAAATTTGTCTGAACTATTTTCTAGATTTGCGAGCATGGTGAATGAGAGAACCGAGAACTGATGAGATGAACGTTTCACCGCTTTATAAATTATAGTTTTTATACAACATGCTTTAATTGCGAATTGGTGTTTGTAGTTTGTGTAAATTTTAAGTCTGATGATGGCGCTGTTGTCTCGCCGAAACGTTATAAAATAAACGATATTCAAAATGTTTACTTCACACTTTGACTGAGACCCAGGCAAGATAAGAATATAATAACAAGTACACGCAGTCAGGAAAATAAATCAGAATTTAGCAACTAGAACCTCTCTAAACCTATTAGCTGGCTACTCCACTTTCGAACAACTAGCGTCATATTAATACTCGAAATTTGTTGTTCTAATCGCCTCAGCGATGAGAAGTTATTCGTAAATTGCTCCCAAAGGGTACTTGAACATGCTTAATAAAAACGTAGAAAAGTTCTATATTGTTGAGGCGGATTCATTTTTT